TTTTTGAGACAGAGAGAGACAGAGCATGAACGGGGGAGAGGCAGAGAGAGAGGGAGACACAGAATCTGAAACAGGCTCCAGACTCTGAGCTGTCAGCACAGAGCCCGACGCGGGTCTCGAACTCACGGACCGCGAGATCATGACCTGAGCTGAAGTCGGCCACTTAACGACTGAGCCACCCAGGCGCTCCAAGGCAGACTTTTAAGACTAGGCTAAGGCCCTTAAGAGGAAAGCCACATTTTTTTTCTGATTCCATATCTTAATTATGTCAATTATTATGTTTTTAAAAACTCAGACCCATAGGAACTCACAAAAGCTGGATTTAGAAATAAAAGTGATTTTTTTTTTTAAGGATAAATGAATGAAACCCAGTAAACTGGAATATTCCTAATGGATTGTCATAATATCTTTTTACCAAAAGCAAAGCCACCCTGGAAAACCAAAGTAAGAACAGAAGATGGCTTAGTGAGTAAAGTCAGAATAAAGAGAAGTGATGGATCCTCAAGTGTAATGTCATTAGACTGGAAGACCAGTCTCCATTAATTAGTTATCTGCCAAGGGGATCAGAATATTTGTGTATCACTAAGATAAACATGACCCTGTTTTCAAATCTGCTGGATTTTCACTACAGATGCATTTGGTTTAAAATGGCTGAGTTAAATAAATCCAGACCCTATTGTTATGTTTGCCATAATGTATACCTCTCTGGCTACACATTCTTGTTCTGTGGGAACTGAATCATCTTTTTAGGTAATTCAAGCAAAATTTCACTTTGATTTGAGGAACTCCTTTTTTTTTTAATGTATTTTTTAAATTTATTTTCAGAGAGAGAGAGAGAGAGAGAGAGCTCGTGAGCTGGGGAGGGGCAGAGAGAGGGGGAGGGAGAGAATCCCAAGCAGGCTCCGCACTGTCAGCATAGAGCCAGAGGTGGGACTCAATCCCACAAATCATGAGATCATGATCTGAGCTGAAATCAAGAGCTGGATGCTTAACCAACTGAGTCACCATGGTGCCCCTGAGGAACTCCTTCAACCCCTGACTTATTATAGTGACTCCTGAGGAAGATGTAAAGCTGCAGGGAACTAGCCCATCTCTTATGTACTATCAAAGCCTTACATTTTGATAAATACTTTGCAATAGCATTAGCATCCATGGGTACCGAAAACGGCATCATTTTTTATTGAATGGAAAGAATTTAATAGGCTCCTAGTGTAAATAAGCATTAATATTTAAATGAGTCTTTAAAAACTTTTTTTTAATGTTTATTTATTTTTGAGAGAAAGAAGGAGACAGAATGCAAGTGGGGAAGGGCAGAAAAAGAGGAGACACAGAATCCGCAGCAGGTACCAGGCTCTGAGCTGTCAACACAGAGCCCGATGCAGGGCTCGAACTCATGACCCATGAGCTGAAGTCGGACACGTAACCAACTGAGCCACCCAGGCGCCCCATTAAATGAGCCTTTAAAAACTAGGTTTGGGGCGCCTGGGTGGCGCAGTCGGTTAAGCGTCCGACTTCAGCCAGGTCACGATCTCGCGGTCCGTGAGTTCGAGCCCCGCGTCGGGCTCTGGGCTGATGGCTCAGAGCCTGGAGCCTGTTTCCGATTCTGTGTCTCCCTCTCTCTCTGCCCCTCCCCCGTTCATGCTCTGTCTCTCTCTGTCCCAAAAATAAATAAACGTTGAAAAAAAAAAAATTTAAAAAAAAAAAAAAAAAAACTAGGTTTGGATTTGTATTTGACTAGATATCCTGGTTACAATCTGAATTGTAACCTCTCTATGTATTTTAAGGCTGGACCATTAAAAAAAGATGGACCCATGCAAATAACAGTTGAAGATCTACTGACTGTGAAATTAAAGAAGACACAGTGTTTTGATGAAAGGAAGAAGGTAAGATGTCACTGACCATACACATGGTCTTTCAGCTTTTAACCTGGTTGTCTCTTTCTGGAAAATAATTATAAGTCTTATGTATAGAAGCCATTCTGTGGTAAGTATTTGATGTTTTGGGGGATTTTTGGTTCAGCTAAGACAGCAGAAGAGAGGATTTATTGTACATGTGTTACATTCAGCCACAAATGAAAACAGAATTAGTCCCAAAAGTCACAGGTTCAGAGAAAAGGACCAAAAGACACTATTTTGGTATGAGCAAGGCGAGTCTCTCAAAAGTGGTCACTGCAACCAAATGGTGATGAATGTTCTAGATCCATTGAATCAAGCTCTAGAAAGTAGGCATGCAGTGCAACAATTGGTACCAGCATTCCTGGCCTCTGGCTTTCCTTATGTCTACGCCTGTGGCTCCACGGGTGTACAAGCTAGTGGTTTACTTGGACCTCTGCCTCATCTTTCTTCTTTTATGCTTCAGCCAGCACATTTGCTTCTTCCTACACTTGGCTCTCTTGGAGCAGAGGTTTCCATGAGATGAAACCTCAATTTTATCTACCAACCATTAGTCTAAAGAGGTAGAGACATACTCTGAAGTTTTGGAATACAAGTTGAGTAGAATAGTAGATATATCTTACACATACTCAGCATCCAAATATTCATTGTTTCAGCATATTTATATTTTGAATGACATTTTTAAGTGTGTTTTGATACTGTCTCATTTTTTTATTTAAAGCTTGTATCATCACCAAAGACACGGAATCCACTAGTTACTGTCTCTGACCTGCAGCATGTCACCCTGAAACCCAACTCCAAAGTGCTATCAACTCGAGTTACAAATGTCTTAATGTAAGGAACTGTACTGTGTTGTGCTCTACTGTTACTTAAAAGAATGATTTTTTGCTTATCTCTAACTTTAAAAGTTATATATGCTCATTGTAGAAAAATGGAAATCCACAGAAAAGTTTAAAGAAGAAAACAATCATTCAAATAACCGTATGATTGAAGATAGTCACTGTTAACATATTATTGTTTAGCATTGTAATCTTTGAATAGGTATCTACTCTATTATTTCCATTTCATGATGCTGTTTATTGTTAAGATACACCATTGATTTAATAGTGGGTTTGTGGGGGAGAACCTGGCTTGCTCAGTTGGTAGAGTGTTACAAGTCTAGATCTCGGGGTCATGAGTTCAAGGCCCACGTTGGGCACAGAAGATTACTAAAAAAAAAAATAGTGGATGGGGGAAAGAAATATTATCAAGAATTTTTTTTATTATTCTTGAATATATTATTCTTGAAATATTATCAAGAATTTTAATTTTTTTTTAATGTTTATTCATTTTTAATAGATGGAGACAGAGCACAAGTGGGATAGGGGCAGAGAGAGAGGGAGACACAGGATCTGAAGTAGGCTTCAGGTTCTGAGCTGTCAGCACAGAGCCAGATGGGGGGCTCGAACTCACGAACCATGAGATCGTGACCTGAGCTGAAGTTGGACACTTAAATGACCGAGCCACCCAGGTGCCCCAAAATGTTATCAAGAATTTTAAGAGCAGTCCAATTTCAGAAATAATAAGATATGATAACTAGTATATCTTAGAATGAATGAAATGTGTGTGTGTGCATGTACTTGTTTGTGTACCTGTATATGATCATATTGTACATACAATTTAAGGCTTTTCCCATTTAATGTGTCAAGAACTTTCCTCATCTCATTAAAAATCAGTTTAAAGTTTTGGGGTTTTTTTTGTTTTGGGTTTTTTGTTTTTTAGTTTGTTTACTTGTTTGTTTGTTTATTTAGAAAGAGTTGGAGCGGGGCACCCGGGTGGCTCAGTCGGTTGGGCGGCCGACTTCAGCTCAGGTCACTATCTCACGGTCCGTGAGTTCGAGCCCCGCGTCGGGCTCTGGGCTGATGGCTCAGAGCCTGGAGCCTGCTTCCGATTCTGTGTCTCCCTCTCTCTCTGCCCCTCCCCCGTTCATGCTCTGTCTCTCTCTGTCTCAAAAATAAATAAACGTTAAAAAAAAATTTTTTTTAATAAAAAAAAAGGAAGAAAGAGTTGGAGCTAGTAGGGCAAGGAGAGAGAGAGAGAAAGAGAATCCCATGCAGGCTCCATGCTGTCAGCATAGAGGCTGACATGGGGCTTGATCTAATGAACCGCGAGATCATGACCTGAGCTGAAATCAAGAGTCAGACAATCAACCAACTGAGCCACCCAAGCACCCTAAAAATCAGTTTAAATCATCATTTTTACATCTTTAATATATGCAGTTCATTATATGTAAGTTTTATAGATAAACTCCTGTTTTGAGACATTTAGGTTGTTTATGATTTATTTCCACCTCTTCAGTGAACATCCTTGTCCATAATCTGTGTGCATAGCTGAGTTCCTCCCTAAGATGGAATCATAAATGTATAATTACTGAGGCAAGAAGTATTACTTATTAGGATGATTATATTGCCTTATGTTCCTATCAGCATCTACTGCTTTTTTTTTTTTTTTTGAGTAGTTTCCATTCCCAAAGTGGGCCTTGAACTCACGATCCCAAGATCAAGAGTTACACACTCTACCAACTGAGCCAGCCAGGCGCCCCTCTACTGCTATTTTTTAATGTAACAAATAGAACTACTTTCTAGGATGTTGCCTGTAGAAATGACTGCTTTGCTTTGGGAAAAATGATAAAATCTGGCAAGCTCTAACTTTTATATTTTTATTTCGTCAGTACTCCTGGTAAAAGCCAGATAGATCTGCGGAAACTACTTAGAAAAGTTGACGTAGAGAGGTAATACGCTCCCTTATCTTTATGCTTTCTAAACCCACTTGAAAAATTGGCATATAACACAGCTTGTAATATTTTCATTATCTTTGCAGGAGCCCAGGTGGAACCCCACTTACGAATAAAGAAAATATGGATACAGGAACTGGACTGACTCCAGTAATGACCCGGGCCTTGAGGAGAAAGTTTCAGGTAAACCTTTAGGAAAAAAATAAAATTTTTCCTTTTCTTCAAAATCATTTATTTAGAATCGTATTCTAAAGGATTTTTTTTTTAATTTTTTTAATGTTTATTTATTTTTGAGAGAGAGAGAGAGAGACAGAGCATGAGCAGGGGGAGGGGCAGAGAGAGAGAGGGAGACATAGAACCAGAAGCAGGCTTCAGGCTCTAAGCTGTCAGCACAGAACCCAACGTCAGGCTCAAACCTGACATGGGGCTTGAACCCACGAGCTATGAGATCATGACCTGAGTCAAAGTCAGATGCTTAACCAACTGAGCCACCCAGGCGCCCGTCTAAAGGATTTTTATTTATTTATTTTGAGAGAAAGAGAGTGCATGTAAGTGAGTGGGGGAGGGGCAAAGAGGGAGAGAGAGAATCCCAAGCAGGCTCCACACTGTCAGTGCAGAATCTCACGCAGGGCTCAAACCCACCAACCATGAGATCATGACCTGAGCTGAAATCAAGAGTGGGATGCTTAAGTAACTGAGCCACCCAGGTGCCCCGACTGCTCTTCCATCCTTAAGGTGTGGCTTTTATCCTCATGGTGAAGAATGCCTATACCTCCTGAAGCCTGGTGTCCACATTCTAGGCAAGATAGGTGAAAGGCAAAGGGCAAAAGGGTGTGCTAGCTAAGCTACCCCTCATCAGAAGGTGCTATCCAGGAACTTCTGACTATATGAAAGAAAGTGGGAAAAATGGTTTTTAGAGTCTGGCTGCATTGGATTCTGTTAGTGAGGAAGGAGAACTGTGTTGGCCACAGGAACATAATTCATATTATAACTGGGACCTTTTTTTTTTCCATAGATGGCTCACCCTAGAAGCCCAACTCAAACTCTGCCACTTTCTACAAACAGCTTTGATGAACAAAACTGATGTCAACTCAGCCTGACTCCGTGTGATGATCCATAAAATACACAGATAAAATCACCCCAATCCTTTTTTTTAATATAGTAGAGTAGATATAAGTAATTATACTAATATATAATTCCATCTAAAGAATTAAAGTATGTGTGGAGCCCCCATACATACTATGATACAAAGTGAGTATTTGGATATTTTTTAGCTTGCATGATCAATAAGAGAACAGATAGGAAAATGCAATCCCCAAAGTGATGTTTATCCTGGAATTACCCAATTAGGTTGGAGAGGTTGTTCACATTTAACTAGATAACAGATTTGTATTCAATAGGTAGAGTTATGACATTAAAGTAAACTGGTCCCCATTCATCTTGCGTATCCTCAGGTAATTAAAAAGAAAAGTTATTTCATCCCGTAACGCTAATGCATTCTCTAAGTGCTACAGACTTGATCAGTATTTATTTGATCAAATAAATGATTTCTGTTTTCTGTTTACTATAAACAGTTAAGAGGTAAGACCTTTCCCCCTCCCAACCCAGTTATTTTCCAAAAGGATGTGAAGCAAAATGTCCAATATAACCTTAAAATTTAGAACATATCATTTCTAGCATTTAGAAATGATATCTAGGTAGTTCTATCTGGCTCACTGAAGTCTGAGATATTCCTTTCGTTGATATTTGCTGTCCACATTCATGCAGCTAAATATAAGTTTTACAAGGACCTCAACATGAACCTTGTATTTTCCCCAGTGACCTGCCAAGGATTATTTGAAGTCCATAGCAGATTCACTTTGAGACCTAATTCCTGTCCTCATCAGCCTATTGTTTCAATACCAGTAATAATGCACACCTCACTGGATTTTTGTTCTTTCCCACCAGTCCAGGGTTGCCAGATTTAACAAAAACAAATATATAACAAATTTGAATTTCAGATAAACAAGTAACAACCTTTAAATATACATATGTCCAGGAGCACCTGAGTGGCTCAGTCGGTTAAGTGTCTGACTACAGCTCAGGTCATGATCTCAGTGTTCATGAGTTCGAGCCCTGCATCGGGCTCTGTGCTGACAGCTCGGAACCTGGAGCCTGCTTCGAATTCTGTGTCTCCCTCTCTCTCTGCCCCTCCCCACCTCATGCTCTGTCTCTCTCTCCCTCTCTCTCTCTCTCTCGCTCTCAAAAATAAACAAACATTAAAAAATTTTTTTAAATAAATAAATATAAATATGTCCTGTTAAACAATGAATTGTTTATTTTAACATAAGGAAGTCCCAGATATTTCATGGGAGATATTTCTACTACAAAAAGTATTCATCGTTTATCTGAAATTCAGATTTAACTGGGCATTCTATATTTTATCTGGTAACCCTGCAAAGTTGCCAGGTATTTCTGGGAGCCCCCAGCTTGTCAGACATGTCTACTTAGCATTGGACACAACTGTAGCTTCAGCCAGGATCCCCATAATTAATGTGTTAAGTATCACAGAGAAAGGGGAACTTTCATTAGGGTGAGTTCTTGTGACTGAAGGTGAGGATTAGCTTTGATGACGATAACCTCCCCTGCAGTTCCAAGAATAATGGTAGCAGCTGCTCATGGATAGGAAACAAGGGGTTTTAGATCGTCCCTGAACTTTGTAGCCTGACAGGGAGCAGCTGCATAGATGATACCCTTGAAATATATCCTGGTTAGCATAGGCTAAAAAAGATATGTTAGTTATTTCTCAGAAATGCCTATATTTCCACAGATAAAGATTGCTTTCAGATGCCAAATAGAGTGTTGTGTCACCAGACTAGAAAGCCAATCTGAGGGTGATGTTTTGTTCTTATGAGACCCATGTTTATGTTTATAACACATTTATAAATGAAAATGAAGCAGGTAATAAAGTTAAGACACATACCTGCTTCTAGTTAGAAAAAAAATCTGCTAGCTACATTTATATTATATAAGAGTAAAGGGAATGATCACTGAGAATAAAACATTTGAGTATTTGTAACAAGTATTTTATGGGGCATTTATAATGCCTATATTGATAAACCAGCATGTACTGTCTCAATTTAATTGAAATGACTTGATGGGGCACCTGGGTGGCTCAGTCTGTGAGGATCCAACTCTTGATTTCAGCTCAGGTCATGATCCCTGGGTCAGGGGATCACACCCCCTGTCAAGCTTGGCACTGAGCGTGGAGCCTGCTTAAGATTCTCTCTCTGTCCCTCTGCCCCTCTCCCCAGCTTATGCTCTCTCTCTCTCTCAAATTAAAAAAATTTTTTTGATGATTTGATTATTCTTGTGGAATAAAGGGTCATAAAAAAATGCTATAGAAATCCTATATAATAAACATTTGTAAAGCTGCTGTTGCCATTGTACCAGTATTAAAATGTGCTCTACCTTGTATCTTTTACTAATTTTTATGACAGGTTTTATTTTGTATCCATATGAGAATCCTATAAATGCTATGGTTTCATTAAACTGTTGCTAATTATACACTTTCAATGCTTATTTTCAGCTGAATAACAATGAGACAATATAAACACCAAGGTACATCTGATTATGTTTTTAAATAAAGAGCAATAAGAAACCTTTGGTTTTTCTCTGTTTAATGGTTTTTACTAGACATATAACACAGAAAAATGCATAAAACATCAATACATAAATTAACATCGTAATGCAAATGCTCATATAACCACCAAGAAAGGTACATTATAAATGTCTGTAGAAACCCTGCTTGTCTCCCTCCCCCTAACATAATCCCTCTCTTCAAGAAGAAACTACTGGTATGCTTGTTATAATAAATATTTCCATGGGGCATCTGCGTGGTTTAGTCGGTTAAGTATCCAACTCCTGGTTTTGGCTCAGGTCATTATCTCACAGTTTTGTGAGTTGGATCCTGCTTTTGATTCTCTGTCTCCCTCTCTCTCTACCCCTGCCCCACTCACACTGTCTCTGTCTCTCTCAAAATAAATAAACTTAAAAAAATAATAAAATTAAAAATAATATTTCCTTGTTTTTACCCTCTAAGTATACATCCCTAAATGCTATGGTTTATTTTCCTTGTTTTTGAACTATATAAATAGAATCATACACTATATATTTTGTTTCTGCCTTCTTTCAATCAATATATTTTTTTAATTTTTTTCTTTAACATTTATTTATTGTTGAGAGACAGAGTGCGAGCAGGGGAGGGGCAGAGAGAGAGGGAGACACAATGCGAAGCAGGCTCCAGGCTCTGAGCTGTCAGCACAGAACCCGACACGGGGCTCGAATCCACAAACTGTGAGATCATGACCTAAGCCGAAGTCAGACGCTCAACAGACTGAGCCACCCAGGTGCCCCTAATCAACATTTATTTTTAAGATTCAACCATGTTACTGTGTAATGCAATAGATCACTTATTTTTGTTGTGTAAATATAGTTATTCATCCTATTGTTAGTGGACATTTGGATTGTTTGTGGTTTCTGGCTACTATAAATCATGCATGCCATTATGAATATTCTTGAACATGTACATATGCGCAAGAATTACTCTAGTGTGTATACCTAAGAGTGGAACTGCTAGATTTTAAAACATGCCTAGGGGCATCTGGGTGGCTCAGTGGGTTAAGCTTCTGACTTTGGCTCAGGGCATGATATGGTTAGTGAGTCAGAGCCCCACTTTGGGCTCTCTGCTGTCAGCACACAGCCCACTTTGGATCCTGTGTCCTCCTCTCTTTGCCCCTGCTCGCACTCTGTCTCTCAAAAATTAATAAACATTAAAATAAAGTAAAATAAAATTAAATAAACATGCCTATTTTCCAGAACGTGTCAAATTGGTTCCCCAGGTGGTTGTACCAATCAATTCATGGTCCCTTCAGCAAAGTAGGAGAGTTCTTGTTGCTCCTGTTTTCTTCAAGGGACTCTTTTTTTTTTTAAGTTTATTAATTTATTTTGAGAGAGAGAGAGAGCAAGCACAAGCAGGAGAGAGAAAGAATCCCAAGCAGGCATCGAGTGTGGAGCCCAATGCGGGGTTTGAACCCGATCTGAAGTCAGACGCTTAACCTACTGAGCCACCCAGGCGCCCCAAGGGACTCTTAAATAATTGATTTTTCAAAATTTTGTTTACTTGGGAAATCTGTACAATGTTTACAGTTAATATATACTATTTTTCCTGGATTTATAAGTCAAAGAATTGTTGAGATGATTTTAAATCAACAAAATCACATACTAAACATAGCATATAATCTACATGGTGAGGATCACAATATAATTTATGTTGATAAACGTGGACTTTCTCATTTTACTTGGCTTTTCAAAGAGAGGTAGGATCTGGACGTGTAGAAGTAGGGAAGGGAATAAGTAAAAGGCAAATAATCAAGCAAAATATTTTTAAGTTTATTTACTTTGAGAGGGGGTGGGAGAGCAAGCAGGAGCAGGGCAGAGAGAGAGAGACAGAATCCCAAGCAGGCTCTGCACAGAGCCCAACTTAGCACTTAAACTCACTAACCCTGAGACCATGACCTGAGCAGAAATCAAGAGTCAGACACTTAACTGGCTGAGCCACTCAGGCGTCACTAAATGTATTGTTAAAAATTCTGTTTGTCGGAGCTCCTGGGTGGCTCAGTGGGCTAAGCGTTGGGCTCTTGGTTTTGGCTCACATCATAATCTCACAGTCTGTGAGTCTGAGCCGCACATTGGGCTCTGCACTGACAGTGCGGAACCTGTTTGAGACTCTCTCTCTCTCTCTGCCCTTCCCCTGCTCTCTCACATGCTCTCTCTCAAAAATCAATAAACATTACAAAAATTTAATTTAAAAAAATTTTTTTAATGTTTATCGATTTTTGAGAGAGATGGAGACAAATGAGAGTGGGGAAGGGGCAGAGAGAGAGGGAGACACAGAATCTAAAGCAGGCTCCAGGCTCTGAGCTGTCAGCACAGAGCCCGGTGTGGGGCTTGAACTCACAGAGCTGTGAGATCATGACCTGAGCCAAAGTCGGACGCTCAACCGACTGAGCCACCCAGGTGCCCCTAAAAATTTAATTTTGTAAT